GCTATCATGTCTCCCCTGGTCCTTCTACCCTGGTCCTTCTCTAGCCATGCCAAGTTCCTGTAACCGTTCTTCACATGTTTTAGTCTCCAGTCCTCTAATAATCCTGGTTGCTCTTCTCTTCACTTTTTCTAGAGTTTCAACATCTTTTTTTATAGTGTGGTGATCAAACCTGGATTAAGTATTCTAGGTGTGGTCTTACTAAAGCTTTATAGAGTGTTATTAGTACCTCACTTGATCTTGATTGTATCCCTCTGTTAATGCAATTTAGGATTGCATTGGCTTTTCGGCTGCCACTGCACACTGCTGGCTCATATTTAACTGGTTGTCCACTAAGACTCCAAGATCCCTCTCACACTGCTATTAAGCCTAGTTTCACCTAGTCTATATGTGTACTTTTGGTTTTTCTTGCCTAAGTGTAAGACTTTACTTTTCTTTACAATGAATTTCATTTTGTTAGACAGTGTTCAAGTCTATCAAGATCCATCTAGATCTTAAGCCTATCAAGAGCTGTGGTTGCGCAGTGGTTAGAGTGCAGTACTGCAGGGCTAACTCACTGCTCACTCCAGGAGTTCAATTCTGAGCGGCTCAAGATTGACTCAGTCTTCTGTCCTTCAGAAGTCAGTAAAATGAGGACACAGACTGTTGGGGGCAATATGCTGATTCTACAGTGCTTAGAGAGTGCTGTAAAGCACTGTGAAGCGGTATATAAGTCTAAGTGCTATTGTTATAATCTAGAGTGTTAGCTATTCCTGACAGTTTAGTATCATCTGCAAATTCGGCAAGTTCCCCTTCTGTTCCCTCAGCTAAGTTGTTTATGAAGATATTGAAGAGTACTGGGCCTAAGACGGAGCCTTGTGGTACCCCACTACTTATTTCTCTACATGTGGATGTAGTACCATTAAGAACTACTTGTTGAGTATGGTTTGTTAGCCAGCTCCAAATCCATTTGGTAGTGATGTTGTCTATTCCACAGCTTTTTTCTTTTCTTTTTTGTGCCAAACTTCCTTATTTTGACTTGCCTTAACAGCCTTCTTCCTTACTATTTAACACTGAAGAAATCCCCAAAATGGTCCAGGTCTTCAAAAAGGAATAGGAGGCTGTGACTAAAGAGAGTCTCTTTTAACCTAGTGAAGATTAATTGTCCTTAAAGGTGATTAAAAAAAATGAAAGGCATAACTTACTGTCCATTTCAGTGAAATGGTGAATTTCAAAATGTGAAAATGAATTTCAAAATGGGGGCTTCCTCAATTCCAGCCACCCCCCCACACACAGTTGCTTTGAAGCACAGCTCCTGAAGTTACTTGCAGACCAGAAGTGTATCAGAGGATCTTGAGGGGTAATTTTAAGACTTTCTACCCCAGGTGAGTCATATAAACTGAAGAAATGCCAGTTCCTTCTATTAGTAGTTGAACAGCTACATCCCAGGGAGCCAGCTTTGAGGTTGGCACCTCTTGGGTGTAATTTTACATTCTGTTCTCAGGCTTGTCCGTCTTTGGCCAGCCAGTTTATTCCGGACTGACACCTCTTGTTCTTATCAGCTGTCACATACACCCTTTACTGTCCATTCCCATGCCCATGCCTTACTTCCCCAATTGCCTTCCCCCTCCCTTGCCTTTTAGGAAAGGATGCCAGTGCATACTTCACATGCTGAAGATGGCAGGCCTGACATCAATCTACATTCCAATACCAGAAAAAAGTGTCACTGCGTTTTTGTATTTACCAGATGAGCTCATATTTTTGGACTCTAAGACTTTCCGTAGCTTGCCAAATTTCTTATCAGTAAGCTAACTATGCATGTCCGCATTCTTTCACTCCTTCTTCTAACTTTCTTTGTTCTCCTGCCAGGAGAGGTCTGGCCGCAGAGAGGTGGCCGGGATCTTTGCCAAAATGTAACTATTTAGATAGTGAGATGTTTTATTTTCTTTCTAACAAATAAATGAGTTTTTCTTAGAAAAAAATATCTTCGGGGTTTATTTTCTTGCAAAAGTATGCTTCAAGGGAAAAGTCTCGATCCACGTCTCTAAATCAAGGTGCGATTACCCAAAAGCAGAATGGGATTAATTAGCACCCTGACAAAAAGAGATTTAACAAAATCATGCAAATTATCATACAATATCCTGAATCTCATATGATAACAAAATCATGCTCAGAAGTGTTCAACACCACTTATGAAAATAGGGTCAATAAATGTCAGATGTTCAAGCTGACTTTTGATCCAGATAGATAATTGAGAAAGCTGAAATATACTAAAAAGTCAGTAAATGCTCCATTAATTATAGAAAGGTTGTTAATTGTGTTGATCATGTCAAGCTGTAGAATGCATTTAGAAAAATGAGAATTCCAGAACAGCCAATTGTCCTCATGAGAAACTTCTATACTGGTCACAAAAGTACAGCATGAGCAGAATTGTGCTCCGGATTGATAAAGGAGTGTGACAAAGCTGTATATTCTCCCATTATTTATTCAATCTAATACTGAATATTGTTAAAGAAAACTATATTGGAAGAAGAGAAATATGGGAAATTGGAGGAAGAAACATCAATAACCTGGGCTATATTGATGAAAACACAAAGGAGGTACAAGTTCTAGTAATAAAAGTCAAGGAGCACAGGAAAAAATGGGGTTAAATTATATATATACATACATACATACATACATACATACATACATACATATATATATATATATATATATATATATATATATATATATAACATGCAACCACCAGCCTTAGAATTAATAATAAAAATATCAAAATGGAAAAGAGCCTTATATGATCAACCATCAGCAGTAAAGAGATAAACAGTCAAAAATATGCTGCAGACCAGGAAGCAGTCATGAAGGCCTTAGAAAAGATGAGAATTGTGCAAACCATGGTATTCCCAGTGACACAATATGGAAGTGAAAGTTGGACTTTGAGGAAACAGGATAGGAAGAACATGATGCTTTTGAGAATACTGTGGATAACCAAGAAAATCACTGAACAAGTCAAGAGTTCTCACTTTGGGCACAAATAACCAACTCAAATTATCCTACTTTGAACACATTATGCAAAGACCTAGCTCTCTGAAGAAGACTCCAATGCCGGGAAAGGTGGAAGGAATGAAAAAAAGGAAGGAGGGCAGCAAAGTGAATAGACTCAATTATCCTGGTGATGAGTGAACCTCTGGACATGAGTGTACTATTTCACTGAAAGATTAAAAGATTAAGCTAGAGACATTGTCATGGAGAAAATCTATATGGTTGCTGAGAGTCAACAATGTCTTGATGACCATAATTAAATTATCAATCCAAATATACTTCAGAGAAGTTTGGCACTTACATATTTCAGACATGATGAAACTCTAAATAACTCTTAGTATTTTTAAAAATACAAGGTGCATGCCATTGGCTAAGGAAAACCTGAATAGTTTTTTTCAGCAGTTGGCCCAGTTTTTGCAATTGTTTTCTTTTTGAGAATTACAATGGTTTTATTGTCAGATCCTTAATTGGTTCTTTCTCAAATACTTCAAAATCAGTAAGATGCCTTGATCAAAAATAATAAAACAAGACATAATATATGTATGTAAAGTGTAAATATAAAACAGTTTTCCTCATCAGAAGGACCATCATTGACAATTATATGAGCCTTCAAGAGAATGTCAAGTTAGAATTGATAAAGAGTACTTTTGTCAAACTAACAAGTTTTATGAAAGCACCTCTTTCAAATGCTTTGAAGAACTCAAATTTCCAATAACAGGATACGGAACAGTAAAATAATTTTACCTGAAAAGTGATTCTTTTGGAGAACTTTGGGCTCTTGTTATAGGCTAAAGTAGTGATAATATCTTCATCAGACATGTTGCTTGATCTGAGGAAATTAACCTTACATATTCAACTTGTAGTCTTGAAAAGATGTATTTTCTTTTTGAATTTAATAAAAGAGAGAAAAAAAATTTAAATGATAATATTATTCATATTAATATTCATATTATCTAAAGGAGTATAAACACTATTTCTTTAAAAACACCATATACTGTAATCTAATTTCTCAGATTAAATTTGCTGTGACAAATTTGTGAAGAGTAAAATTGGTAGTAATTTTCACACTGCACTGCTTTTGACATGGCACTTTATGGCATCTACCATCTATCATCTTGCCCAATTATACAGAAATGCCTTCAGTTTTGGAAAACTTGTTTTCAACATACCTATAATTGTCCAGCCTATAAAATGTTCTTTAGACCATTTTAGACTAGACATAGACTATCTTAGTTTAGATAAGATAGCTGGAGGAAATGATTGGGTGAATCCAGCAAGTGGCAAATGTTTCTTTGTATGATGGAGTGGGGCTACCAGCCTTAAAAGAAGCAATGCATAGATTTAGCATTCATGAAAAATACTGCTCAAATAAGTCTCGAGTGTGTATCAGTATACAGATAGTCTTCAACTTACAACTGCAATTGAGCCCAAAATTTATTCTGTTAAATGAGAAATTTGTTAAGTGAGTTAGAGATTAGATGCACTATTTTCTTATTTCTTATTTGCATTGAGGACAGCTAAAGATCGCTGCTCTGTTCCAATCTGCTAACGAAGTACCCCTGGTCTATCCCTGCCAAACAATCACCCTTCCGTTTTTCCACAGAAAGAATCATGCCAAGGCTCCGACAGGTAGCGGTCTCCAGCGAACCTGTCCGCTAAATTGCCCTCCCTGCCAAAGGTCTGCCCTTCCAGCGCCTGAGTCGCCGAGGACAGTGCCGCGTCGCCGGACTATCTTCTTCCACGCCCTTACCTCGCGTCGCAGGAAGGTTATTTCGTGTCTCAGTTAAGATGGCTGAGCAGCACCCACTCCGATCTTTCTCCTGCCCTGGCTGCAGGTGTATGAAAAGGTAAAGGCGGCCTCAGCTCGTGTAGGCCTCCCCGCCATAGAGGTAACCTAGCAACCTCCAGCACGCGGCTGCTGACAGCACAGACCAGCAGGGTTGTTGTTGTGGCAACTAAACCACGCCTCCGTTTCCGGATGGGGGTTTTAACCTACAGTTTGGGGGCGTTTCTCAGGGGGAGGATGGTTGCTCTGTATCTTTTTGTCTTTCGGAAACTTGTTTAAAAGCCAGTGATATTTACATGTCCCTGTCTGGTCAGGGACAAAACAGTAAGTACTTTTTAAAAAGACCGGACTTTTTGCTGAAAGTGGAAAAACTGATGTGATGATTGGAAAAGGATTAAATAAGGGTTGAAGGGAATCTTTGTAATGCCAAGAGGGAGGTAGAATAAGGGGTTTGTCAGTAACTGTTGAAAAAAGGGTTGGAAGGCTTATTTTTTCTTGCTTAACTTTTTTCTGTTTTTCTGTTCTTTTTTCTTCATGCACTATTTTCATTATTCCATATTTGTCCTTTATTATATAAAAACTCTAAATAAAAAGAATTTATCTTTTACTTATGTAAAATCTGCTTTTCACATTTTTCTTTAAAGTCTGGTTTGCATATCTTTCTTTTCCTACATTTTATTTTTTGGATATTGTTCATTTTTACATTGAGTTTTAATGCTAGGCCTTGAGGAAGAAAACTTAGTTTTAGCCAAAGATTTAAGGAAGCTATACAGATTCTTCCTTTAGCTTTTATCAATCCTGTCTCCAGGCATAGAAGTGTGTTTGAAACACAAGGCATCTGAAGAATTTCAGGATCCAAAAAAGGTCCTCTAAAGAAGCTGAGCAATATTAATCTACATTTATAGGAATGACATTGACTGCTTTGTACATCCAAATGTTATTTAATGAATAGATTAAATCTTTTAATCTACTCATTTAATCTAGATCTATTAAATCTAATAGATCTTTAGCTTTTGATGTCACTTGAGCAAGATAAAATGCTTCTGATGGATACCTACTCTAAGCAAGGAACAGAGTTCTTTCATGCTATTAGTCCTTTCTAGATCAGTGTTTTTCAAACTTGGCAAATTTAAGATGTGTGGACTTCCTCCCAGAATTCTGTTTAGAGTAAATTCTCCTACCAGTTCCTATCTCCACATCTAGAGCTGTATGAATCACATATTTATTTTTTCCAGAAAACTTTTCTTGGAATATAAAACATGCTCTATATTTAGAACAAGCATTTTTTTTCACATAGAAAAACCAATGCCAGAGTGTTTGATTCACAATGATTTAAATCTTGTCTAGTCATGACCTTGTTGTCATTGTTTATAGGTGTTAACTGTCTTAAAATATTAGTACTGACAGTATATATTTCTGAAGAATACACAGCTGGATATTAAACCATGGATTTTAATGTTTCAAAATGCTCTCTTTGCAGCTGTGATCATGCATCCCCACCCTCTTCCCTAGAAAAGCCAGCCATAAGAAGTTCCTCAGAAAATATAAAAGTCAAGCCTCTAATAAAAAACTGTCCAAGGCGCATTCCACAATCAGCCAGATGCTTGAGAAAGATACATTGTACTAACCACAAGCAGATGTAGATACTTAAAGAGATACATTATAACAAGACACCTGTTGCAAGCAGATGCTGCCTATCTAGATCGCTCGTTCATAAGGAAAAAAGTGCTGTCAACTATAACTGATTCATAATCAAACCAACTGAACCAACCAACCAACTGAACAGACTAAGAATAGGAATTAATGGGATTCAAAATCTTCCTGCCCCACTCAATTCCAAAGATAGGGCAAGACTTTTTAGGACATAATAGGATTTACCCACCCCCATTACAATAGCAAAAGACACAGGGATCACCATGTTGCACAACTCCTTGAAGCATTTTAATAGCAATAGCATTTAGACTTATATACCGCTTTACAGTGCCTTACAGCCCTCTCTAAGCAGTTTACAGAGTCAGCATATTGCCCCCAACAATCTGGGTCCTCATTTTACCGACCTTGGAAGGATGGAAGGCTGAGTCAACCTTGAGCTTGGTGAGATTTGAACTGCCAAATTGCAGGCAGTCAGCAAAAGTAGCCTGCAGTACTGCACTCTAACCAATGTGCCACCATGGCTCTTGCTCACGAAACCCCAGAACCCTATAAAAATCCATCCACTCACCCAATCAACTGGCCAGCTGCCCCACAACTGAATTGCTGAATGTCACTTCGCTTCTGAAATAAACCACCTTCCAAGCAGCTCATTTTGACTTTTTAGTTTTAAATGGTGTCATTTTGTTTTCTTCTGTGGGTTTTCCCGGAGGGAAAAATGAGCCCCGAATTTTCTTCCAACACTTTTTAGGAGTTATGAAAAGATATTATAGTGTGCTAAATATAGTTTGGCTAATATATTTGATAGTACATAATTTATGTGGTCTATAATGGAACAGTTGAATATATATATATTTTTTTGCAATAAAGACTTTTTTTAGGATTAAAAGGATTTCTTTTAAATCAAATTGTTCAGTTACAAAATGTTTTAAAGTTGACTTCCAGTTGATGTCACGGTGAGAATGGCTGGAAAATAGTGGGCTCCACCGAGCCTTGCGAAATCCAGCTGGTAACCATTGTCTGGATACCCAACGGGGTCATAGCTGCCTTGTAGGGGTGGTGAAGGAAAGAGAGGTGCTTCACTGACCACAAGGAACTCACAATTTCCTCATTAGGTCCGAAGCAAACTCTCCTGAACGACAGCAGGGACAACTGCCATTTTTGGCAGTCACAAGCTGGGACAATTGGGACCACAAGATTTGTGCTGGAGAGATTCTTGGACAGAGCATTGGGTGAGATAATTACCAACTTTTACTCTAAAGACCTGATTTAAGTACAAGAATTTTAAAAGATAAGTTCCAAGCCTAAGAAAGTGGTAATTAAATACATGGAGAGGGGAGGGGAAAAAAACTGAAAATCAAGAGGCAAAAGAAGCCCAAGGGAAGCTTTAAAAGACAGAAAGCTTGAAAATTTTTTAACAATTTGAAAGGTGATTTTCGGGAAAAACTCTCTTGTTTATTTGTATTTCCAAACCCCCTGGATTTATCAGATAATCAGCTGTTTTGACAGTTGGGGAACAAGAGAGCCATCTACTGGAACAAAAGAAGTACTACAGCACTATAACCGCAGTATACTCAGTGAAAGTAAACTCAATACACACAAAGTCTAATACACAGAATAGAAGTAATAACATCTGGAAGTCAACCTGACCTTAACTTTATATTAGAAGACTTGAATAATTTGAGAATATTTAATGAGGTTTTTTTTTCCCTTTCTGAAGATTTCTAAAAGGAACTAACTTGCAAATAACTAAACTTTATTAAAATTGGCTATTGGATTATGGATCTTAAAGATTGGAGGAATCTAGTGGATTAACTTGGATTTGGACTAATAATGTTATTCAACAGAACATTCTACGAGACCAAAGAAGAAAGGTGATAGAAGAAAAGAGAAAAGAAGGAAAGTTAAATAAGACTTTAAAATTTGGACAATTGGGAAGATATATAATTGGAAAACTATAAGGCTGTAAATTACTAAAGAATTTTAAAGATCATATATTTAGGGGTTTTGGAGGTATAATTATGGGATACATGAGATTTAATTAAGCAGGAGTTTTTAAATATTGAGATATTGGAACTATAGAAATATATTGAGTAATTTTTATTAAATTCTTATAAAATGGATTTACAAGGGATAATAGAGGCATATGAAGAAATATTCTTGATGCTAAAAAAGTGTGCATGAAACTATAAAGAACAATGAAGGAGACAAGGGGATGGTTTAAAAACACAGAAATGAATGTAGAAGTCACTCAACAATTGGGGGGGGAAAGGAACACGATATTCAAGAAATAGATGAGAAATTAGAAGAACAGTGCAAGGGAAAAATCAAAATGAGACGCAAGAAGCTAAAAATAAAGAAGAGTAAGGATTAATAAGTAGGAATCAATTAGATAACTCCTTAAAAGCTTGTAATAGAACAGAGAGAAAAGAGAAAAATCTCTTTAAAAAAAGAGAAAGATTTAGAGAGAAAAAAAGAAATATATATATTTTTTAAAAAGGAAGTCTTGTTGATGGGTTGTCGAGCGTCCAGCAACCCTCGACACCTTGCGGACTGACAACAATAACGGACTACCTGGATGAAGGGAGGGGGGAAGAGTGAACACGGGCACAGGTGACGGTGATGGGTTAGGGACCACGAATAGGACTATCCATCACTGGTGCTGGGTGTAGAGGGATCGCGTAGGGATTAAGACCAGTGAACTGAGGTGAGGAGCAGCCAACGAACGGAGGCGTGGAGAAATGGTGACATCACAATCCGGCGACCTGGCTGCTCCTGGCGGCGGCAGATACAAACTGCTTTCCAGCTGGAAATGATTCTGGAGACACAGAAGACTGATAAAAAGGCGCTGAGTAGCAGACACTCTCAGTGCTGACTTTAGCTGCATTAGCAATCCGGCGTCAAGTAGGAGCTGTCGTGTACCAGCAAATAAACCAGGATTGATTCACTGAACTCTGTGTGTATTCCCTGCATGTTTTCACCGGCAGCCTAGCGTCGTCGAGATGGGTGATAATACAGCAGAAAGAGACAAAGGGTATCCAGAAGGGAATGTTCAGAAGGCACAAAAATATCAAAAAGAGCTACAAGATTCCAAGAGAGAGAGATAAAAGACTGACTAAAAAGTCAATAAATGATAGAATTTGGAAACGGTTAAAAGATGATGGATAATTAGAAAATATATTAATAAAATGGGAAATACAAATAGGGAAAATAATAATATATATTAATAGATAATAAAACTTATAACTAAAATAAACTTAGTAGATGGAAATTTAGGATTAGGTAATTTAATTGTATTATTAACATTAATAGTTTGTTAAAGTATATTATGAATTTAAAATATTAAGGATTAGAAATTGTGGGGATTTTGATATACACTCCCAGGATTGATTAAATATTATTTAATTATTAGTCCTACACAATCCTACACATTTGGAATATTGAAGTTATGGTGGAATAATGAGTAATTCTTAAAATATTAAATATTAGTAATTTAGTAGGGGATAACAAATACATGGCGGAAAGAAATGTTATCTATGTTTAAATGAATTGGAAAAATGATAAATAATTTTGAAGAGAGAATAGCATTGTTGAAGTTGGAAGATTAGGATCACATATACTTATTTGTATTATTATTGTTATCATTGCCTGTGCCACTCAAGAGCCTGAGTGGCGCAGCAGACTAATGCTACTGTTAAAGGTAGTATTAAGCTTCCAGCTGCCTGCAATTACTGCGAGTCCAATTCTCACCAGGCTCAAGGTTGATTCAGCCTTCCATCCTTTCTAAGGTCGGTAAAATGAGGATCCGGTTTGTGGGGGCAATAAGCTGACTTTGTATAAAATATACAAAAGTATGAAGGCTATTGCTTAACGCCTTGTAAGCCGCCCTGAGTCTCCGGAGAAGGGCGGCATATGAATCAAAAATAATAATAAAAAAAAATGTTTAAAAAAGATTTGACTCAGTCAATACACTGTCCACAAAATATGTAATTATTATACAAATATTATATTTAACATTATATATATAATGTTAAATTGACTATGTCAACTGCATATAAAGAAAATTTGTATAAAATATTTTATAGATGGCATTTTGCATCGTCAAGACTGGCAAAAATGTATAAAGATAGATCCACTAAATGTTGGAAGTGCAATCAAACACCTGGTTCATGTATGTGGTGGACATGCCCAAAAGCTAAAAAATATTGGATGAAAATACATACTTGGTTGGAAAAAATAATTCGTAACTGGCTGACCAACTGCACTCAACGTGTAGTCCTCAATGGAACTGCATCTACATGGAGGGAAGTATGCAGTGGAGTACCCCAAGACTCTGTTTTAGGCCCAGTACTCTTCAACATCTTCATCAATGATTTGGATGAGGGGATAGATGGAGAACTCGTCAAATTTGCTGATGACATCAAGTTGGCAGGAATAGCCAACACTTCAGAAGATAGGCTTAAGATACAGAAGGATCTTGACAGACTTGAACATTGGGCGCTATCTAACAAAATGAAATTCAATGGTGCAAAAATTAAGATTCTACATTTAGGCAAGAAAAACAAAACGCACAGGTACAGTATATGTGATACTTTGCTCAATAGTAACTGTGAGAGGGATCTTGGAGTCCTATTTAAACCATTTAAATATGCAGCAGCTGCCAAAAAAGCCAACATAGTTCTAGGCTGCATAAACAGGGATAGAATCAAAATCACATGAAGTGTTAATACCTCTTTATAATGCCTTGGTAAGGCCACACTTGGAATACTGCATTCAGTTTTGGTCGCCACGATGTAAAAAAGATGTGGAGACTCTAGAAAGAGTGCAGAGAAGAGCAACAAAGATGATTAGGGGACTGGAGGCTAAGACATATGAAGAACGGTTGCAGGAATTGGGTATGTCTTGTTTAATGAAAAGAAGGACTAGGGGAGACATGTTA